TGAGGCTGGCTGGACCAATAAAAAATGGCCGGCGAAGGGAAGAGCAGAGCACTAATTAATTCCTTTGGATTTTTGCTGGGGTGACGATGAACCATTTGCGCTGTTCTTAATTACGTACCCAAAAGATTTTTATGATGTGTTTTTTTTTTTTTTGTTTGTTATCTGAATAAATTACTTAGCCTGAGATATCTGTTCTGTATATTGTTGGTTCGGGGATATTCCACGTCGAAGTTCGGATACCCAGCACTCTCAAGAAGCCACGGGCTATATACGTTAGAAAATCCTTTACATTTTTCAGATATATAAACATCCCTATTCGTTTCCTAGCTTTATTATTTCGCTATTTATTACTGTCTAGATGGCTTTCGATTAAATGAAGCTGACGTAGCGGAAGTAAGACTTGATAGTTCGACAGCACCAAAACGCTTGTCGATGGGCTCGCCCGAGTCCACAAGTGAAAAATAATCCCAAATCCGTGGGGTGTTCAAATCCACCAATTGAAAGAATGGAATTTCTAGGTTTTAATGATAATTTTCATTGATAAAAAAAATGAGTACGATGGATATATCTTTAGAAAGGCACGTGCGAATACACGCTAAAATAATGAATTTTCATAAATCACATAATAGGATTCTCAAGTGTGTAATAATGTGGCTCAATCACAATCAAGTGTGTTCATGAGACGTTCTCTCTCGATCCCTATATTCATTCGGTTGAGATTAGGCAATATCATTGTATGAGATAATCCTCTCGTAAGGAAACACATTATTCTTTATACACACTAGAAATTTGACACGTGCAAATGCACGTGACATGAAAACAATATTGTTTTAACATATTTCTAATTTTTTAATATGAAAAATAATTTTATGTTAGTTATAAGAGTGTGCATTTATATTGGATATGGAAAGTGAGAATAAGATGATTTTCTAAGAGAAAATTAAGCTTTTATCTATCATTATCTAACATATTTCTAATTTTTTAATATGAAAAATAATTTTATGTTAGTTATAAGAGTGTGCATTTATATTGGATATGGAAAGTGAGAATAAGATGATTTTCTAAGAGAAAATTAAGCTTTTATCTATCATTATCTAACCTTGACGCCGTTCACTGGTTTTTTTTTTTTATATGCCAACATAATAGTAGTATAGACATATGTAAAGAAACTTGCTCCCTTTTAATTTAGGTATTTATTATCTAAACATCATCACTTTTCTTTTATAAACTAAAATACATTGGATCTATATGCTCCAATATTTTCATATCATTGGATGCGCAGTAGTATGTTCTTGAAGAAATATTTACCTTTTCTAAACTAATTAAAATGTATTGCTGGATGCGCTGTAGAATGCTCTTGAAGAAATATTTACCTTTTCTAAACTAATTAAAATGTATTGATGTGTATTTGCTCCGACATTGTTTTCATGTTATTAAATTTTGTTATGGTAATTTACCATCTAAAGAGAAGTACCAAGAGATTATCTGCATACGCTTAAAAAGTCATGGTCCAAACCAGTTTTAGAGCACAGCCGAGGTCAAGTCTATTGGCCAGTCGAGCAGACGAGCCATCTTTCAACCAAGAGTCATCATGACCGACTCGAAGTGCGGGACCAGTCGGTCCCTCGTAATTAAGACGACTCCTCGAGCAGACGTCTCGAGCATACACTTGACCCAAAGCTCACTCGACTATCGGGTCGGCAAATCATAATGATGACTCGCAAATCAACCCGCCTCGACTAAAGGGATAAGATCCGACCAAGCTCACTTCAAATGTCAATCAACACAATAACACTGATCAATCCCATCGAGATCTCTCCTCTGACAGATCCCCTGCATAAGCTGCTTATTCTACTCACAAGTCACTTCTCTGGGATCGCCATGATGCTCTTCTGGTCTCGAATAACTTCACCTTCATTCACCAGCCGCCATCTGGAGGGGGAAGGACGACCGAGCAGTGGGCCTATCCTCTTCCCTACCTCATCAGTCAAATCCAGGATACTAAGAGGACACCTCTCTCCTGTATTCGAATGACTTCCCTTCCAATCGCAAGCCGATATCTCGAAGGAGAAGGATGACTCAACCGCCTATCTACCCACCCTGCAACCGCCCTCCTGTGCAAAAGAAAAGTCATAATCTTAGAGGAAATGGACTTTAAAACGAGGTAAGAAGGGTAAGGGCAAGAGGCTATGCTCCGCTTCTTGTAACATCTGAACTTTACTCCCCCTTTATTCTTGGCATAAAAAGAAATTCAACTCTTATAGAGGACCCCCTGCTAGGACCTCAATGGCCCAGGGACCTCCCAAAAAACCTCCCTCAAGCTCTCTGTAGGCATTGAAAATTGCCTATAGGTCTCCACGAACAGCTCAGTGTTAAGGAACGACAATGAACGTTACTATCTGGTTCACAAGAGTTTGACTGATGTCGGTGAACGCTTGAAGTGAACCGACGAACTACGTGAGCTGACAGAATTCCGGAATAACGAAGGTGCGGGCTAATCGGGAGCCCCGCAATGTTTACAAAGGGAACAATGCCCTTCGTGTATCATTCATTCTACAGATAATCCAACCATTGGAGCTGATAGAACTCCTTGTCGGCTTTCCAACGCATTTGGAATCACTCAGATCCGGGTTCAGACAAAGAAGTTACAGCGAAAACAGTCAAACGGGCATTGAAAACGTCTCAAAGCTGAACTGAGGCACCTACGGTGTCTCGGCCAAGTCAAGACACCCCCAAGGTGTTCTCGGGTTAGCAGGACACCCGGAAGGTGTCTCAGCCAAGCCGAACACCCCGAAAGGGTGTCTCGCAAGCCGAGGAGGCAGCCCCAGGGGGTCTCAGCGCGCGATTGACCCCGTTTAAGCGGTTTTAACCGCTCCGCAATCCCTCATGCCTATAGCTAATACAACCTTAGGCCTTCATTTTTTCAATCTGAATTTTGGAGATTAGGGCAAAGCCTGTCCGGATGAAGAAGCTGAAGGGGCACGGATTTTAGAGAGGAGGAGGAGAGATCGGATCCAGTTCTCAACGCGAAGAGAGAGAAGTTCGTCAGATCTTACACGTTCACCGTACCGATCCTAGTATGTATTCCCGTGGTAGTGGTAATAGCTAAGAAGAGGCAAAGTATCTCGCTTTGGTATCGAGGATAGCGCTTCAATTTCTAGATCTGCCTCGCGGATCGACTAAGCTGACTGCTAATTTTATCGAGCCAATCAGATGCCTGGATCGACTTTGGTCCACGATAAAACCCCGCACAGGCAAAGATCCACGCAAGCAGAAGGCCGATGAACGATCTCTGCGTTTGTTTGATAAAGTTGTAAACTTTTTATTTTTATTGTGTAAGGAGATCTTATAAAAAGATCAACTTTTTATTTTATTCGAGTTTATTGTAACGACTAAAGTTGTAATAGATTCGATAACAATGGAAACATCAACTTTCACCGCAAACAAACTGGCGACCACAGTGGGAGCCAACAGCTTCGCTGCCGAAGCTGTCGTGCCGCAGCCGATGATCAAGATCCCGATGCTCGAAGAGGTCGAATACGAGTTCGATCAACAGAAGTTCGAGGAGTATGTCTCCTCCTCCTCCTCCAGATCTGCCTCTCCTTGCAGGTGTAGGAAGGCCTCCTCCTCCAGGAAGATCCGCTGGTCTTCAGATCTGAAGACCCAAGAAGACGATCTCTCCGTCGTCGCTGCTGTAGTTACACCTCACAACGATCCGCTGGCTTCCAAAGAAACCAGATCCAACGTTCGTGACAACTCCTCGAAAGTCAAGGAGTTGCCCGTTGAAAGTGCACCAGTGTTGACGAAGAGGGCTCGTCAAAGGCGCCGTCAATATCTCGCGCGTCAATTTGCCAAGGCTTTGGAGCCTGTTGACGGGATCTGCTATGATGCGAATCTGAAACACAGAAGGCGCAAAGTGTTCCAGCAACAAGCTTTGGGAACCTCCTCCCAACCACCTACTAATGAATGGGTTCGTATCAAACGAACCCGTTCAACTCTTGAGGAGCGCATCCATAAGCGCCGCGCATTGTTAGCGCAGACGAAGATTCTTGTACGGAAGGCATAGGAATTGCAGAAGGAAAAGGTGGCCAAAAAACCACCAAGATCTAAGCAAGTCTGGATGCCAAAGGCCAAGTTAGTGTCTAAGGAAAAAGCATCCGAGGCTGCTCTCCGGCCTTTGTCAATTCCAGATCCCATTCCTATTGCTCCCGTACCTCCGGTGAAGCTCTATGATAGTGTGGATCTCCCCAGATCTAGAGTCCCATTGAAGGGTCGTGTCGGTGCTCTACCCGAGAATCGAGGAAAAGCGTTTATTAGGGAAAGCTTGAGACCGTCGAAGGAGCTTCGAGCAAATATCCGGACTGGGGGTCGTACGCGACCTCCTAACAAATTAATTTCTACAACAGCCCGCTTGGAGGTGCGTGCAGAAAACCAGGAGCCCGTTAAGGTTTCACTCTCACAAGGGTGTGATTCCAAACGTGTGACTCCTGTATATGCCAACAATGCGATGTTTACTCAGATGAAAACGCGACAGACAGAAGAAGGCGTTATATCTGAGAATTTATGTAAACAACCGATAGGTTGCTCTGACCGCAATGTCGACGAGTTGTACTATCGAGCTGGGGGTACGAATAAATCTCGAAAGAGAAGTACCCGGGAAACGGACTTTCACTGTCCATGTACCAAAATTATCAGGGTAGTATCATCAACGTGTAGCTGCCCCAAGACCGATCAGTGGAGGGTCTCGGTATTCGAGAGGATCTTCGATGGAATGACGAAGCCCAAATCGAGGCGTTTCCGCCAAAGAGGATCGGTTATTCGAGATGATGAATTCCCAGAGGTTACCGTCAATATGGTTGATAAGGGAAAATCTCCAATTGTTTCAAGTGGTTCCAACCCTGATTTCTCTCCAGGAAGAAGAATCAATTCGGGAATAGCTCAGCTTCAGCTAGAAGCCGTCGGATATAACGATTACCAGGGGATCC